GCCATGGCTGAGCACAGAGCTGGGCTACCTCCCCCAGCAGCAGGCTGTGCCCAAGCTGGGTGCTCCAGGGGCTGGAGTACAGCAGTTCCCCCAAAAGGAGCAGTAAAAAGCAGGAAGCTGCCCCAGGTTCCCAACCCTTGGGAGCACACTTCCTTTCTCTTTTCCCCTTCTATTTCTCCTTCTCCATTTCCCTTTTCCCCTTTCCCCTCCTTCCTCTCTGCTTTCCTCTCTCCCCTTTCCTCCTTCCTCTTTCTTCCTTTCTCTTTCTCCTTTTCTCCATTCCCCTTTTCATTTTCCCCTTTCACCTCTTCTCTCTTCTGTAAGTGACCACAGCAGCTCTGACTGGTGAATGGAAGTTCCAGCTGTATATCTTTACGCTTGCTGCTGGTTACACAGCACGTTAAGTATCTCCCCCCATCCCATATCCTGTGATAAGTCCAAGTAAGAACAAATCACTGAAAAAGTCTCCTGCAGGAGGAGCAGAGCACTCCCACGCCCCACCAGCTAATATCTGCCATTGTACTTGTATATCCTAAAACTGTTTTGGTGTATTTTAAATGCCGTTTTGCAGTGGAAAGGGAAATTATATCTGGAATCATTTCCTCAAGCTCAAAAATATGTGAACCGGATTGGAAGGTTTGTGTTGTGTGCATTGATTAGAAGCAGGGACAGAAACATGTAGGTGTAAAAATCTGTGATTTACTATGGAGAACAATGATTTGGTTTCTTTTCAGCTAAATCAGCTGGTTCTTAGAGATTGAAAATGTGTCTCAGAGAATGTATCTTTTCATTCTGTGCTCCATCCAAGGATGTTCCCATTCCGTGTCGGCCTTCTCTTCTACAAACGTGCCGCGCTCGCTGTGAGCTACACACGCCATTCAGAGCAGAAATCCAGCAAAGTAGGTTTTTGTGAGAGACCTTGATTGATTCTTAGTCCACATAACGTAGTGTTTGTTCGTTTTCAGGTGTAATCATGGCATTTAAATTACACAGTGCTGGTGCAGCCGTGCTGCTGCCGGGCTGGGGCTGCTGGCTGCAGAATGGAGCTGCTCCCCACCATCCCCATCACAGATCGCCTGCATTGCCTCCAGGTTTTAATTCTCCAGTGCAAAAGGACACTTTGCTGGCATGGAACGGCTTAGGAGCTTTGTTTTCCCTTCTGAAGAGTATCTCAAATGCTTGTTCAGGTTGGCAGGAGGTTTTTCAGCAGGCAGATTTCAAGCACTGATTGGAAGGACTCAAGAACAGCACATTCTGTACAGTAAAAATTTACTGATTCTTTAGTGTGGGGAGTACTTTGCACATTCTGTTGTATATTGCATTAAATGTAATAAGTTAATTTGGGAGGCAGAGATGTAAGCTGGCTGCCTAAAGAAGTTTTAAGCTCTCTCACCATCTGACCTTTTCTGTCCAGGAGTGCTGGCTGCCCTTGGCTGCTTGGCGTGCTCTTGCATTTCAGTCACATTATCCCCTTTTCCTTTTTCATTTTTTCTTTTCCTTTTTGTTTTTCTTTTTTCTTCTTATTGCATTCTGTGTCTTTTAATGAGTTGACTGTAATTCTCCCAGGTCTCTGGCCGCGGGGCGTTCAATGGCTTTTGACACAAAGAAAAAGTGTTGAGAGATTTTTCATTGGTAAATTCCTCCTCTGGGGTTTGATGTCTCACTTTCCCTATTGGAGACGCACAAGCAGCCTCAGTCACAAAGGAGGGTTTCTCCTGCCAGGGCATTTCAGCAGAATCGGTGAATAATGCAGCAGAACTGTGCAAGGACGCAGTGGCAAAACCAGCACTCTTACCTCAGCAGCCCGCGGGCACCACTGGTGTTGTGATCACAGCAGGTCTGAGTGCACAAGGGAAAAGGAGAGAATGAACAGAAAGTAGTTTATGGCTTTCCTCAAAGACACTTTTCTAACTCAAAAATACAAGCCTTGTGGTTTATATGGTTTTGAAATGTAACCGCAGCTATTGAGAACTGGAAAAGATTTCATTTACCATCTTCTCCAGTTTTGGTACCAGATTCAGGGCACGGGAACTTTTTTTTGTAAAGAAAAATACTGAAAGGAAATGCATTCCTGTCTAAGTTCTTCTAATAGGGTCATATTTGGAGAAACTCTGCAACAAAGGAACCTGGGTCACCTGTGCCTTGGAGGGGCGGGTGCAGATGTGTCCTCTGCTGCCTGCAGCGAGGTGCTGTCAGCTTGCTGTGGGGAAGCTTTGCTGGCACATGGTGGTCTGCAGCTCCCTTTCTTGGAGCAGAAAGGATCACTGTCAGAACACGGGCTTTGGCTTTGAGCTTGATTTAGGATCTGAATGGGATCAGCTGTGCGGCGCACATCCCAGCCTCTCCAGCCCGGGAGCTGGGTGGGACCCGGCCAGAGCTGGCAGCTCATGGCTAGGAGCAGAGAGCTGGTCCCCCTGACTCACCACACTGTGGGGTTTTTAATGCTGTTTTCTTGTCTGCTCATTAAGTGACCCTCTTGCTGATAGTTGGGTATCTTTCCGATATGCGAGAGTCTGCAGAATGTGACTTTTCTTTAAAAGGGAAGATTCTGGATGGTCGTGACTCATACCATGTAAAGGTGTTTTTCTGGCCTCCAGGATCTATCCTTGCTTTTGCTGATGCTGCTCTGTAATTGTTTAAAAATGTTTATCAAACTTTATCCTAGTAATTGATGCTGCTTGCTCCTCTGAGTCGAGCCCAGATGTGCCTGTGGTTCAGCTGTGGCCATTTGGTTCTCAGGCGCTTTGTTCTTTCTTACCTTCTGTTTCTGCCCCTCTCCTTTTTGCACTGAGCAACATCTCCCTCCATTTGTTCTGGAAGCCTTATAAAGCCCCTTGCAAGGTCCTTGTTCTTTCTCCTTGGGTATCCTGCCATTAGTTTCCTGCTGCTATGCTGGTTCCTCCTAAATGTGGGCGAGCAGGATCGTGTCTGCTATTCTGATGGGGACTTAGTAGTGCTGTTTCTGCTCCATTGTCTCTGCCATGAATGACATGGACTTTCCCATCTACATCTTTCCTAGCCACTGCATAGCTATGGGCAGCATCCCAAGGCCCAGCATGAGCTGCACCACCTTCTGAGACCAGGCAAAAGAAGAGTGTTGCTCCATTTCCCATTTGTGTTTGGCTCTAGGAGTATCTGTTTGATGGGTGTTTGGTTGTGTTTCGCTGGCTGTGTTTCACCCTTAGGTAGTCCCAAGGTTTTGCCCAGTAAGGTAAGACACTAACTGCTCCCACATCAGCATGCCACAGTTATCAGCTGTACTTCCTCTGCTCCTTAGTCCCTGTTCTGGAGAGCCATCTCCTTCCACACTGAACAGGGAGAGCATGACCCTTCTGCCAGGCCGTGCCTGAAGATGAGTGGCTGCACTGCACCTTGAGCCCTCCTTCTACCAGGGGTTGGCCCTACTGCATCCCACTGCACCCTGCTGCACCCCACTTCATCCCAGTGTGTCCCACTGCATCCTGCTGCATTGCGTGGAAGTCACCCCACTGGGTGTTTTCACTCCAGTGCTCAGAGGGGGGGGAATGCTGTTTCCTCCTCACCTGTGCTCACACAGCAGCGTGCTGGCACCACACTGAGTTGTTTAAAATTGACCAGAGATGGTTTCTTTGGGAGCTGGGCAGGAGCAGGAGCACACACACATGGGCTGAGTTTGACTGTTAGCTGCTAATGCTGTGGGGAATGAATGGGGGTCCAGGTCTTTTCCCATTTTGTTATAAGAAGAGACTTCTCTTTTTCCAGACGAGAAGCAGTAGCTTGGAACTGTTTGGAGAGCTCAAGATTTCAGAGTGGAGATGAGAGAAAATGTTACGTTATGAACTGTAAATGTGGCGTTTTAGATTTGACTGCTGTGCCCCCGAGGTTGGCAGATAATGGGAAAGCCATCAGAGCCCAAGCAGCCATCAGCTCACAGCTTCGCAGGCTTTGTGAGTGCAATGCCTGGGAGCTGAGCTGGATGAGTCTGAGCTCCTCACAGCTGGACTGGCTCTTGCAACCTGAAATATGAAGTGAGCCAGCACACCGAGCTGAGCGCCCTGAGACTGCTTGCATGGGGCTGTGGAAGGCAGAAGGTGATTTAAAAGGATGTTTCCTTTTCAGCTTTTTTCTGAACATTTTTCTTTGGCATTTCTGGAAGCAGAAGAGATGCAGTGAATGGACGAGGAACATTTTGCGACAGCTAGCTCAGATTTTTTCATGTTGCTCCCCGCAGATTTCCATTCAGAGCATTCTGAATCCAAGTTTTGTAAGGGAATGTCTACAGATTAAATAGAACCAGATATTAAAAATGTTACTGCTTTTAAAACTGAATGCTCCTGAACATATCATTCAGAAATAATGGTGTGATGAATGGTGTGATTAGCAATGCTAGGTACTACATTACAGCTGGACGCGAGTTTGCAAGTAACTAAGTGAACAGTAAAAGAATCATTGCAAATATCCTCCTTTTGAGATGGTGGATCACCTTCTCTCCATGGGCTCAGCAGCACCCATGGGAGCGTTCCAGCTCTCCATCCTCCCACACCTCTCACCCCTATCCCGTGGCAGCCTGGAGTGGGTGAGATGAGAGCTTGAGAGCCGTTTCCTTGAAGTCTGTGTTGAGAACTCCTTTCCAGGCTGCCCAACTCTTCCAGGAGAGTTTTGAATTAATACTGAGAAGGGGGAGCGGGGGAGCACTGCTGTGGTTGTGTGATTTGGTTGTAAATGCAGCGATGGGGCCTTTCAGCCTGTGAGCCCGCGTGGGTGTTGAGTTAAAGCCATGCATGGATGATGCCTGTTATTTTGTTAGGGTCTCAGAGCGAGGGGTTTTAGCACTTTAATCCTGACTGGCAGTTGGAAGGTTGGTGGTTTCAAACACAGTGGCACGGAGTGGCTGATTTCGCTTCGGTGAAACAATGCACCAGTGTGTCTAGGCTGCCTCACAGAGCCAATAAATCTGTTTTGTTTTGTTTTTCCCCCCCTTCTCTCTCTCTCCCTCTCGCCCTTTCTTCCCCCCAATCCAGGCCAAGACCCGCTGCTACTGCTGAAAACCCTCCAGCTTCTCTGGACAAAGAAAGAGATGAAGAAGGTAAGGCTGTGTAGCGGCCTCCCCTCCTCGCTGCCAATGGTGGCTGCATGCAGAGCATGTCCAGGCACAGAACGTGGGTCAGCCTGCAATTCTTCATGACTGCTTTCAGTCCCAGCACACAGGGAGTGAGCCTGCGCGTCTGCAGCGAGAAGCGCAAAGAAAAGGTAGCTCTGTGTGCAGCAAAGGGGCTCCTGTGAAAGAGCTGAAGTGTGCAGGGCTGAGTTGCAAGCAGAAAAAAAAAACCCTCAAAGTTGCTTTTGTTTTCTTTTTTGTCCATTACACTGAGTGTCTTAGGAAGAGTGTGAAGAATGTTTTGAGAAGCCGAAAAAATGAGGGTTGAAGTCAATAGAAAAGTGCTTTTTGCCAAGTGGAATGATATCAAATCCTTTGTGTTCGAGATATTTTTACCCTTTTGTTTTGTTTGATTTGGTTTTGCCTTTTAGAGTGGTGAATGCAATTTACACTGCTTCTCTAAAATTAGTGCTATATTTTTATACAGCACCCTATGGGCTCTACGTGGAGATTTCTCAGAAGGAGTAAAATATACTTCATCTAAATTTGGGAGCTTAAAAGCTAACAAAAACAGTAGATGTATGCCCTTCATGGTTAGTTTCCCATATCAAACTCTGTGCTGCTCAGACAGGTCCGGAGCTGAAATGTTCTTTTCTAAAGAACTCCAAAGCCAGCAGCTCACCGCAGAGCTGTGGAATGTGGGTTGTGTGAAGTGGCAGCTGTGGCTCAGCACACTGGGGTACACACTGCATCCTAGGAACCAGTGTTGGGTCACTCTTCTTGCCTGTTCCCTTCCTGTGGTTTCCAGCCTGAGTAATTAAACCACTGGAAACCCAGCATGAGATGTGCCTTTCCAAACGGCCCGTCACCGCTGTAGACTTGAGCTCAGCAACTGTGAAGCTTTGAGCTTTCTATCAAGCTTTGTTAGAGTTGCAGGAAAAAAAATATTGTTTGTTAGGTTTTGAGGGCAGCTAATCCCACAGAACAACAGTAAGAAAGAATAATCATCAAAGTCTCTGTTCTGTGTACCCTGGGATACGTGTGGACTGTGAAGAAAAATACTCTGAAAAAGACAAAGCCTCCCACCGGCGTGTCCTTGGGCACAGAGCACCGCAGCTTTTCTGCTGAGGATGGAAAAGCACGAGGATCCCCATGAGCCATGCTGGCAGCTCCGTTTGCTTGCTTCTGGACCAGTCTCTCCAATAAGGTGCACGGTGGTGCAGAGCGTCCGCGCTGCAGCTTCACGGCGGGGCAGGTCTGGCCTCCCAGTGCCCACCCTGCAGTGCAGTGCTGGCTGCTCAACCACAGCTCTAAGCTTGGGCGCTGCATTTCTGAGCCAGGACAAGGTCGTTCTGGGAAGGTGTGGAGCGTGGTTGCTGGAGACAGGCTCAGGAGCTGCCTCAAAGGGGGGAAGTGCAGAATGGATGGCCTCAGCGGTATCCGACACGTGCCCATCACACTGCTACCGGGATGCCCCAGTAGGTTCTCATAACATTACCAGCCTCAGCAAGGCGCCCACAGCAAGGCACTTTTTCCAGGGGCACCTGCTGCCCTGCCTCTGCATGCAGCTCAGCACACAGTGCTGCTCGTGTCCTAAGCAAACCACTATCCAACATTCCAGTTAAAATAAATGAGGGAAGTTGGCTTAAGTAGAACACAGCTTGCTGCGCTGACATTTAAATGGCAGGGAGCTTCTTTGCCTTATGCTCTGTGTGGGTGTAAGTCAATACTGGCAATTAGCTGATGTGTGAATCAGTCCTCTCTGTGAGACGATGCCCATCAGTCTCAAATCAGTGAAGATCAACAGTAGGAGTGAACCTGTCCCTGGAGTGACGTCAATCCTGGGACATGGTTAAAGAACATGACCATTTCCTACATAAAGACAGTTTTGCAGTAACAAGGATACATCAGCAGAGTGCCCTGAGCTGAGAAATAAGGGACCAAAACTGAACGAAGGACTGTGCGCTTGGAGCACCAGCAAAGTTTTCCAATTCCCATGATCTGTCAGGCTGTAGAAATCCCCCAAGGAGCATTCCCTGCCATGGGAATCCATTGAAATGGAAATGGCAATTACATGTTTGAGAGGAATCCTTCTCTGGCACAGAGAGGAGCCAGGCAGCGCAGCACTCTTTCCTCTCTGATTTAGGTGCTTTTTGGTTTTTTGTTTTTTATCTTTTCATCCCAAACCACACATACCATAGTTGAAGTCTTCAGACTGCCAAGAGGTTTGGGGGTAGGCTTTGCCCCTTTTTAAAAGTGGAGCCAATGGGAGTGTGAGGCTCAGTCTGGCCGTGCTGTTAGCACTCTTGCCAGCTGTGTAGGTGTCTGGAGATGCGCTGTGTGTGAAAGCAGGCTTGTGCTCTCACAGGACATGGTGTCTGCTGGCGACTGTCCTGCCAAAGGCCAGGCTCAGGATGCAGCTGAAGGAGGAGCTGAGTGGTGTGGTGAAAGCTCTAGTTCGGTCTAAATGTGCTGAAGTGGAGCTTTGGGGGAAAAAAGAGGCCATCTATAAACAGCGCAGTTGAGTTGGCCGGTCGCTTTGTTTTCCTTTGGCTGTTGTGCTGGATGTTTGTGGTCGGATAAGAGTTTGCCTGCTACTTCTGCTGAATCTGAAACTTCGCTGCAGCGAAGTTGGAGCCCTGTGTTTAACATTGCAAATTCTTACCACAGGGAGAAAGCTGTTATCTCAAGTCACATCTTTGTTAGTCATCGGCTTTTTCTTGCTGCATCTAATAATCTAGTGAGAAGGAAACAGTTTCTGTCGTAAACGATAGGTTTTGTGGCTTTTCCCAACATGAAAGACGCTATGGAAAATAACTGCCTTCCAGTAAATATTGTCGATGAACAAAAAAGAACAAATTCACTGGCAAATTTTCTGTAGATTTGCTGTTGCTTTTCATACCATTCTTCAGACTTTATGTTGTTTCCGTTGGAAGCTATGACTGGGGCCATCATATACAGTAAATTACAATTGCTGACTGCAGGCGGGAATGAGCATCTTTTGGGTTTTGCTTTTTAGCCAGAAAAGAAAGAGAGCAGCTGCTCGTAGTGACTTCTTGTTTTCTGTCTCTGCTTTTGCCTCGCTCCAAGCCAGTACCACGCGGTGAAAGGTCCTGTGTGGGTACTGAAGGATGCCACTTCTGCACCCTGCCAACCCTCCGAGCTCCTTGGAAACTACTTCTAATGTAAACATTATAAAGATATTGCTCGGTACTGCTAATTTATCACTTCTACCAGATGGGTAGTAAGTAGCCTATTAACATTCACAAAGTGAGTGTCCAATTCCTTCACATTTCTAAGCACATCACCCTGGGATCCCTAAGATTTATGGTGCAGCATTTTCCCATGTTCCAGGCCCCTTCCTACAGCCTTTAGCTGTGCTGCAGCATGGGTGCCTGCAGCAGTTACCTTGCTCGGGTGGCCTTGGAGCACAGGAGGACAGATTTCGTTTCTTGGGTGGCAGAGTATGACAGGATGTGAACTTGGATCTTTCTTTTCATTCCTATATGTAAAATCCAAACCATTTCAGTGCTCCCACATGTTGAGGAGCTGAGTTGTGCCATCGTGGCTCAAGTCAGTATAAAGTCAAACACAAAATTTGTGGCACGGGAGGAGGAGCTTATGTGCTTCATTACCTGTAGGTCTATCAGAAGATGAGTAGGTTGGTGAGCCCAATTATCTACCTTCCCTACTGCCATTTCCTAATAACGCCCCTTTCTCCTGCTCACTTCTCCCCCTCCCCCAAATCCCAAGCCCCTTTGTCTGCCCCACAGAACAACTTCTCTGTCTTTATGGGATAATTAGTGTGGACAATTGCTGCTTTTCCCATTGGGTTTGAGGTGCAGTGAGCCATGAAGGAATCTGTAATGACATGAAAAGTCACTGGAGGCGTGGATGGTGGCTGAATAGCAACAGTTACCTCTCTGAATAGATTAAATTAAAAAAAAAAAAAAAAAAAAAAAAGCTTTGTGTTGAGCTGGGGGAAGGGAGGATTCACTAATCTTTTTGTACATGACAATGTGTTTTTGTATCTCTGCAGCTCAAGGAAGAAATCAGGCGGGGCTTTGCGGGACTGGAGGACCCACTGGCAGGGCTGCTGGACATGCTGGAGAGCAGCGGTGATTGGAAGGGGAAAGGGCATTCCCTCGGGTATTGCATCAGCAGTGAGCTGCAGCTTTGGATGAAAGAGCATCCTGCTGTTCAACAGGTTAGAAAAGGAGAGAGCGAGAGACCTCGGGCAGAGGAGAAGGCAGCTGATTTTAACGTCCCTCAAATGGCCCCAGTTTCACCTCATTCCATAGTCTTGTGTCTTCTCTGTGGCCGCATAAGCACACGGTGTGACAAGGTGTAAAACTCCTACTGAGATGTTGTGATCTGGTGATGCTGCTCTGCAAATGGAGTAACAGCAGAAGCTATGATGTGAGAGCCCTGTTTTCCCCTTCCAAGTTGGGATTCCCATCTTTCCAGATCAAACCGTTCTGATCAAGCATGGGTCTGATAGCCTTTGCTAGCTGGAGGCATTCCCACTGGAGCTCACATCACTGCTGTCAGGATAAACCCAATTGCAGCAATCTACTCTGCATATTCTTCCAGTTCTGCAAATAGAAGCCAGTTACTGTACGATTGCTTAACTCCTACCATCTGGTGGGGAGCTTTTATCATTAGGAATGCAGAAAATGGTAACAGTATGGCTTTTCAGATGAATGATTAACTTTGTAATGTTGGGTCGTCAGATTATACGTCCTAATGTTTACCATTCCTTTTGCCATCGTGTATTCTGACCTCCCAAGATTTTCCCTGTTTTCTGTGCTTTTACCTTTGAACTGTGAAATGCTTTCATATCTGTTTTGTTTGACTCCTTATTTTTCCAAATGGCTCTTTTTAGACTTTCATCTCTGTTTAGATTCTCTGAGAGAATTGCCATTCCAGTATTGCAAAATGCAGAGAAGTGCTACTGGCACTGAAAATCCTGTGTCTTAAGAGAGTGGCCATATAAGACCACAAGGGTTAATGCTTGTGTCTGTGCTTCTTGCTGCAGTGCTTCTGCTTTTCCTGCCCTTCTTGCACCCAGATTGATTTCCTATGCCTGATAGGTGAGATTTCCCTTGAGAGGCATTGCTGTGTGAAAGATTTTCTGCTGGGAATGGAGTGTTAGAATAGCTGTGTTAGAAAATAATAGCTGTGTTAGAAAAAGAGAGCGTTTTTCCAGTTTCATGCTTTGCTTTTGCAATTCTTGCAGAATTACCCTGCAAACATTTAATGTTTTTAAATTGGATGCTGTGAAAAAAACTGCATATCATCTTGTTCTGATTTCTGTTTGCAGACTCCATGGGGAAATTGGAGAATCCCTTCCCAAGGAATTGGCTTCTTCCCCTGTTTAAACAAGCTGAATTTTTAAGTGCCATTGAACTGTAGCCATCTTTACTAAATCTGTGTCTGATTTTTTTTTTTTAACAGTCTGGCATGAAGCTGAAGAAGCTGCAGGCCCGTGTATTCAGAATACTAGACCAGTGCCCAGCTAATCTTCTTGACCCTCTGATTAGCATTTACCAGCTCCATACAGCAGACCGGAACTATTTGCTTGGACACGTCAGTCATCTTTATCACAGGGGCGATTACAAAGAGGTGGGTCATGTCTTTCAAATAAATTCACCTTCCCAGCTCTCTGGTGCTCTGTTAAGGTCTGTGTCTTTTTTTTTTGGATGCATTTCAATGTGAATTCCATTTCATCACAGCAGCTGCACGCTGTGAATGGTGCAGCTTAGCATGGTCTTCTCGTGTACATGAGTAGACTGTGCTCAACCTCAGTTTTTATAATAGCTGAGTACAGAATGACCGTGAGTCTTTCTCCTGGAGCTTTTCTGACCTTTGAAAGCAAGGGGTTAATAGGGTCTAATTTGGAGAATTTAAGAGGATGATTGTATTCTTTTTTGTTTTTCTTGTCCTTGGCAGGAGAAGAAGGGATTTTAGTAGTTGGTCATAGATCTGCTATGCTATCTCCAGTCTGCTTGCAGCTACAAGGGGGTGGACAGCCTCTGCTCCCTGACTGCCCTAGCCAAAGGGCTCTCAGCTTGAGGAGATTCCGAGTGTTAATAATATCTTCTAAGTGTGTGTTATTGCTCCTGTATTTTCATTTGAGTGACTGGCAGGAGTTCAGAAAAACCAGAATTTGATGTGTTTTACCTTGTATTTTTGAGTTCTTGCTGCATCTCTGGTATCACAGTGATGTCTTGATATCCTTGGAGTGTTTTCAGGGGCAAAATACAGTACTGTTCATGATTTCTTTTTCTTTTTTTTTCGGCAAAAAAGTATAAGTTTGTTTCTTTTCACAGGGAAGTTGTTTGCTTTGACTGTGTAAAGCATCCTGATCTTGCATAGAATAGAAAAAAGTGAAAGAGCATTTTTATGCCCTGTTCTTCAGTAAAGCCTAACTCCTTTGTGATCATGGAATTCCGTCCTTGCTGGTTTTGTGAATACAGAAAGAAGGCTATTTCATATTTGATTACAAGTCTGCAGGTAGTTACTTGAAGCTTACTCTTTTGTTCAGTAACTCTTTGAACGCGAGTGTTTGAAGACCTTAACAAGAGCGTATTATTTGAGTATATTTGAGTGTGATTTTTAAACTTGTGACTTCAAAGATAGCTATTGTTTTCTTTTAGAATTGCAAATCTTTTTAGATCAGGTTTTTGGAAAGCTCTGGTTTTTTTGGTGGAATTATTTATTCTGTTCTTTCTTCCTCAGAGAAGCTTACTTGCTAGTTATTCCAAGTGTGAAGAACAGGAAACCTCAACTGGTGATTATTCTCAGCCATAACTTTCCTCTAGTTCTGTTTTACTGCCAGAAGGATGAATATCTTCAAGAATAACAGGAAATCTTTTGTTCTCCTTGGAGATTGATTGTACCTAATTTCACAGAATCACAGAATTGTAGGGGTTGGAAGGGACCTCCAGAGATCATCGAGTCCAACCCCCTGCCAAAGCAGTTCCCTACAGCAGGTCGCACAGGTCGGCATCCAGGCAGGTCTTGAACATCTCCAGAGAAGGAGACTCCACCACCTCCCTGGGCAGCCTGTTCCAGTGCTCCGTCACCTCACTGTAAAGAAGTTCCATTGCACATTTGTGCAGAACTTCCTATGCTGCAGTTTCCAGCCGTTTCCCCTTGTCCTGTCTCCACTCATCACTGAAAAGAGTCCGGCCTCGCCATTCTGCTCCCCACAGCTTAGATACTGATAGACCTGGATCAGGTCCCCTCTCAGTAAGCAGCTTTCACAGCAGCTGTGCTGAAAGAACCTAGCTCTGAACATCTATGGCAGGCTGTGTCTTGTGTGTTCATCCCGTGCTTCCCCATCTTTCACATGGGATAGTAAAGCAGATTCAAATGCAAGTTTTCTGGCAATTGTGTGTCTCACCTGAAAGGACAGATGTTCTTATAAATCCTTACTTTCATTATTTATTTTCAGGCCCACTTGCTGTTCTACAATAAGGCACCAGACTTTTATTCTAGAACACATAATTCCGTTTACCTGTTCTGATGCATTTTGTTCTCCGTGTGCACGCTTAGAGGTCCACAGCTTTGCTCTGCTGGTTGAGGTTCCTTTCCTTCACAAAGATTTAAGGTGAAGAACCTCTTTAGAAAATGAGACCCCAGAGACTGCTGGGGATGACATGGCAGTTATTTGGATCTGAAGCACATCCGAACCTCCCTGCACTGATTCCTATTAGTAGCAGATCGGGTCAGAAGCTGAACCAATTTGTTGAATACACCAGCCTGAAGTTTTGCAGTTGAGATGAGCAGCTCCTTGGAGCAGCCTGCTGTAGCAGTAGGCCCTGACCTTTCAGGGTGCAGCTATTGTGTGGTTCATAACAGGAAGAAAAATCATCAGCCATGTGAAGAGACGGTACATTTGTTGGGAGGTGATGCAGGTGAGGAAACATTTATATATATAACATTTATATAACATATATATGTAGCAGTGCAGAACAGCAGCTGTAGTTGGGAGGCACCTGATGGAAATGCAGGATCAGGTGAGCCGCCAGTGGATGGCACTATTGCTCCCGTGACTCCAAGAGCAAGCTGATAAGTGATAGCTGAAGTAACAAAACGGACATAAAAGTGTGCTTTGGAGTCGTCTGGCACATTTGGGGTTTTTATCCATTCTTTTGTGAATGAGGTTTGCAGCTGCTGGAGGAAGACAGTCTGAGGCCTTGCATGGCTACCTGTGGGGAAGAGCAGGGAAGAGGGTTTCCAAGCTCGCTCCTCATGGCCTGTAGAAGATGGAAACTCCTCTTTTAGAGGAAGATCTAGATGGATGGGTTGTGACATCCCTCCCTGGTGCCTCCGGCTGAGATGTCTCCAGCTGCAAACCCTCCTGGGCCTGCTTTGAGGCACCCTGTGTCCCTGGGACCTGGACAGCCATGAGACACCGTGTGTCCATGGGATGGGGCGCACAGGAGACACCGTGTGTCCATGGGATGGGGCGCCCATGAGGCACCGTGTGACTGTGGGATGGGGTGGCCATGAGGCACCGTGTTTCTGTGGGATGGGGCGGCCATGAGGCACCGTGTGTCTGTGGGATGGG